AGCTATAATTTCGGGCAAGGACCTCCTCTCATCATATCTGGTTCAGCTCGTGGGGTATCAGTGTCAAATGACATACTCCACGAAGTGCTCCAGCGACGGCGGGGTCGGATAAGTGAACTTGCTTACTTGACCCCTCCCTGAGGAAGCCGTAGTTGCCTGAACATGTCAATGGTAACCCCCTGCCCCCCTCTGGAAGCCCCTTGAAAAATGTTGTACCTTAAAAAATTTACTGCGGATTCGGAAAGCTCTTGAAGAGCGCAGTCGGAATCTGCCAGAAAAAAAAAAAAAAAAAAGATATTTGGGCACTTTTTTTTCAAAACCGGTTTCCCGGTTCACCCCCCCTGGTCTGGTCCGGCTCCGGTTGSACCGGGGTAGCTCAACYGGCCGGTTGCCGGCCCAGCACTGCTTTGAACCTGTTTTCTTGTTCCATATTGTTCCAAACAGGGTGAACAGCAATTCCAATTACCGAAAAGGCCAAGCAAAAAAAATAAAAAATCAGCAGTGGACAACCGTGAAACAGGAAATTGAATACTGATCATTGAGAGCATTGGCACTGCACATCGCCTGTCTCTTATACACATCTAGATGTGTATAAGAGACAGCAATGATATCGTTGACCACAGGGAGATGCCAGTTCAAAAGCCTTCAGGAAGGGGACGTCCTCCAAAACCAAAGCTGCAGTTCCGAGTCCACTTCAGACATCATACAGATCCGAAGGAGGACCGCTGGTTTACTCAGGAGGAACTGATGCAGACCGCTCCTCAAATCGTTGCCCGCTATGAGAAGGATGCACTGAAAGGAAAGCGCCAGATGGCTACAGATTGATCTTCGAAGAGGACTAACGAAGATATGGAGGAGGGAATGCGAGGCTACACCTGTCTCTTATACACATCTAGATGTGTATAAGAGACAGCGGTGGTCCCGCACGCACGGTGCCAACGCATGCGCTGCGGCGCACCATGAAAAAATAGGGATGAWAAAAAAAAAAAAAAGGGGGRGGGRGGGGGGCKGGGGGGGGGCAAGATCCAGCCCAGGCCCAGAAGAAAATATGAAACCGGTCGTGCAAACTTTTTCGCAGGCCCTGTCAAGGACCACGAGACTTTTTGGAGGGGAATCTCAAACCTCGAATTGGACATTCCTCGGCCGGTAGTAGCAGTCCTTCAACCTGCAGGCACCCCGTCTGCCGCCGCCAAAGGCATCTCCCATCAATTGTTGTTGCCGTCGCCTTCAACCATCATGGCCATCTTTGCACCCCTCTTCATGCCATCACTGTGGTAGAGTGGGTGACAGGCAGCGACTTGGACAAGGGACAACCATCATGGCCATGTTTGCACCCCTCTTCTCTCTCTCTCTCTCTCTCTCTCTCTCTCTCTCTCTCTCTCTCTCTCTCTCTCTCTCTCTCTCTCCTCGTCATTGTTGTCCTCATCCTCCTCCCTCCTTCGTCATGGTTCGTTCTCCTTCTCATCCCCCCCTCATCATCATTCTCCTCCTCATCCTCCCAACTCCGCCATCATTCTCCTCGTCCTCCTCTTTCCTTCGTCTTTGTTCTCCTCCTCCTCCTCCCTCCCTCATTATCATTCTCCTCCCCTCCCTTCTCTTTACCTTCTCCCTCGCCGTCGTTCTCCTCCTCCTCCTCCCTCGTCATCATTCTCAACCTGCTCCTGCCTCCCTCGTCATCGTTCTCCTCCCCTTCCTTCTCCTTGCATCCTCCCTCATCATCGTTCTCTTCCTCCTCCCCCTTCCCCTGTTGCCGTTCTCCTCCTCCTCCACCTCCTCCTCGCCCTCCTCCCTCCTTCGTCATAGTTCTTGTCCTCCTCCCTCCATCGCCTTCCGGCCATTTCTTGTTTTTGCTTTCTTTTTTTGTAGCTAGATCCACGTCCCTTCGACTGCCATGGACGAGGGAGGAGGAGAACGATGAAGAAGTTGGGAGGAGGAGGAGGAGAATGACCATGGAGGAGGGGAGAGAACGAGGAGGAGAGCGATTACGGGGGAGGAGAAGAACGGTGACAAAGGAGGACAACGATGACGAAGTAGGGAGGAGGAGGAGGAGAACGACGATGAAGGAGGGGGGAGGGCGAGGAGGAGAATGATGACGAAATGGGAGGAGGAAGAGGAGAACAATGACGAACGAAGGAGGAGGAGGAGGAGGAGAACGACGATGACAGGAGGGAGTTTGAGTCACAAAAACAAAAACGGAAAAACGGCGAAGGAGAGTTGTAAGAAAGTCGGAAGAGGGATGGGGGAAAGATGTCAGAGGTGCCACGTGGACATCTCTCCTCCGTCCCTCGTCCATCTTTCCTTCTGCTCTCCTTCCTCATCTTTCTGCCATTTGCCCTTTTTTTTTTTTTTTTTTTTTTTGACACTGCAACTGCCATCTGTTTGTCACCATAGAACGACGATGAACGAGGGGGGAGGGCGAGGAGGAGAATGATGACGAAGTAGGGAGGAGGAAGAGGAGAACAATGATGAACGAGGGAGGAGGAGGAGGAGAATGACGATGACGGGAGGCAGTTTGAGTCACAAAAACAAAAACGGAAAAACGGTGAAGGAGAGTTGGAGGAAAGTCGGAAGAGGATGGAGGAAAGATGTCAGAGGTGCCACGTGGACATCTCTCCTCGATCACTCTTCCGTCTTTCCTTCTGCTCTTCTTCCTCATCTTCTACCATTTGCCCTTTTTTTTTTTTCTTGAGACTGCAACTGCCATCTGTTTCTCACCATTGTCCTCCTCCTCCCTCCTTCGACATTGTTGTCCTCCTCGCTCCTCCAAGTGGCACTGCCATCCTCCCAATACTTGACCCTCAAGGACTCCTCCCTCCTCCCCTCCATATTCCTGCCACCCATTTTCTGTCTTGCCACCAATTCACCTCCCCATCCCTCCCTCTGGTTTGTGCCTTCTTTCTTTTTCCCAGGAGTTGTTGCTCGTTGGTAGCTTGTTGGTCGTTGTGTTTGCAGATTGTTCGCAGGAAAGTGGATTAGAGGGGAGGGTTGTCAAGAGGGAATGACAAAAACAAGGGCTCCGGGCACTGCTGGTGCAACTACTGTGAGCTCCGCTTTGATGGCACTGCCACGAAGCTCAAGGATCGCTTCTTGAAGGAGCGCAGCCTCAATTCCGTGACAACCCCGCAGAGAGAGTACTAAGGGAGGATGGAATCCGGCTAGGGAAGAGCATTGCTGCTCAACTGCATGGCGTCATTGGTGTGGCTGTAGCAGGCATTTGTCCCAGCAATCGGCGGTCACTGAGCAATTCCGTGGCCGGGTCCATGGATGGTGGCATAGGAGTTGTTGGAGAATCGGGGATCGCTGCGACCAGTTCGGTCAACACTGTTACTGCACCCCCCTCCACAGGGCGCCCTGTCAGACAGACGAAGCTCGAAGAGGGGGACAGCGTTTTCGCCCACAAGAAGCACACAAACCGGTTGCTGGACGACAATGAATTCTTTTGGAATTTTTTAACAGCGTGAAGAAAGCCCATCCAAGTTTGGTGCCATAAAAATGCAACGAGGTGATGACAAAACGGCTTGACGGCGGGTACAAGAGAGCGAAGGACGAGCTGCAACACCTGTCAAGGAAGTGGGCAAAGATGGAATGCATGATTCAGATGGACGGATGGTCTGACAGTTGGAGCAGACCACACCTGAAAGTCATGGTCTCTTCCCCGGTGGGGACTCTTTTCAAAGTCCCTATGCATGGAAGGGAAGGACAAGGACGCTGCAGCCTACTTGTGGGTGTTGGACAGCATCATAAAGGAGATCGGGCCAGATGAGGTAGTTGGCGTTGTCATGGACAAAACGAGAGTCGGCATGAAGGCGGGGAAGATGGTGGAAGCCGCATATCCCCGCATCTTTAGCGTACGATCTACTGCGCATCCCCTCGACCTCCCCCTCGAAGGCATGCACAAACAGTTGGGCTGATTGATGAGGGCAGTGGGTGCCAGTAACAAGGTTGGAAAGTTTTTCATGAAATGAATGCCGACAAGGGTCGGGCAATTTTCAGCACCTATTCTCCGAAGTGTTACTAGAAGCGGCCAGAAATTTGAGATGTTGGACTCTCTGAAAAGGGGGTCCAAACTGCTTGATTGGTCCGTGTGACAAAGGATGGGTGGACAAGATGGTGAGGCCAGACCAGAAGGCGATGTTCCATGAGGCTACATCCATTGTTCTGGACTGGGCCGGTTTCTGGAAGGACGTTGACAAAGCCCTGGCTGTGATGGGACCGGTTGTGGAATTGCTGACATTGGTGGACGCTGTCAGACCCACTCTTTCAGAGGTGTTCTTCAAAATGGATGCCATCATGGAGCAGATAAGAGGGTCCTTAACTGCCTGTCCGACAGCGAGAAGGCCGATGTGGAGCGTATTCTAGCGGACAGATGGTCATTCATGATGAGTGCCCTCCGTTGCGCTGCAGCCTTCCTAGAGCCAGACTACAGGGAGTGCGACGCACAGGGTGATGTAGAGGTTTGTGCCGGTTTCAACATATGGCTGTACTCGTGTGCGCCACGAGACAAACTGATCGAAGTGAGCAGACAGGTGAACCTTTAGATGAACCTGGGTGGGTCTTTCAACTAACAGGAGCCACAAATTGAGCTCCCTTCGGAGCCAGCCGCAATGTGGTGGGTGGCATACGGGGGCAAGATGAACTTGCTCACACCGCAGGCAATAAAGCAGCTTGGGCAAGCAAGCTCCTCGGCTGCATGCGAGACAAACTGGCGCCGCCTACCTGTGCACCGGGGCTGTGCACCGAAGCGCGCGTATAAGTGTGGCGGGTGAGCGCAAGTGTACACACACTGGCCGTGCGTGCACAGCGCTACGTGCACTGGGCCGCATCCTGCACCGCACCGGTGCGCTGCAAGTATGGTATAGATGTGAATCGTGTAACTGCAAATGCTCGCTGACCTGGATTGTTTTTCGGTTCAGAAATATTCAAATATCACAAGCAATGAAGTATGAGAACACTCAACAAGGGACAAAGGAAGACAAAAGAGAGAAAAAGGAGCGACATACCCAGCAACCTGGTTTGCCACGGGCATGATGTGAAAATGGATGATTTTCCGCCTGTAGTTATGCACATTCGCAGCGTCCATTTTGCAGAAATTCCTGAAATCATGTTCCCCAACAAATGCAGCAGCAGCTATACGCATGGCCTGCACCACACATTCACCGATACGAATCTCAGACGCACA